CTACGGGCTTCCAACTTAGACGTTTACATATTTGAATCAACGAATGCGCATTTTTTGGAAATTAGTCTTCGGTATTTCGGGCCAAATTATAGCGGACTATCCGAAGTTGTCTCTCCGAGATTCGAATTTTTTACCTTAAAGATTTTTGCCCGTTGGCATTGGTGTCATACTAGTATCATATCTAGCACATTCGCGTTCTATACTATACTAAGTGAGATATAAAATGCAACACTCAGAATTATTTATTGGATTTTGATAAAAACTTTTTATCACTTTCTATTTATCAGTACTTTTAAAACTTGTAAAAGTATGCTCAAAATTACCGACTCCTAGTGGGTGTTGCATTTTCTATGTCATTTAGTATATTATGAGTATGTACCGCGAATATTGAATGTTTGTTCACACAGAGGTTTATTTGAAACACAGCAGCTGAACGTGCTAATGCGCCATACAAAGCTGTACGTTTGTCAACCTTCTTCAGGGATTTTTGTCACCGAGTGAAGCAACGCGTGCCAAATAAACAGACTGAGGGCATGCGCGCGGTTTTATCTTCTATCAAGGTTTTAGGTATACCTGCTTTAAGGCCTAAACGATGGACCAATTGTATGGGCCTGTTTGACTGACTTGATCCATGTAATCTGTTTGTTATACATGTCCGTAGCTAACTTTTTTCCCAGAGAGGCTAAGTTGTCCCAAACAATTCTCTATAAACTGATGTGTCTATTTTTCATATTTTTTTAAGTCGACAACTAAGTGGACATTAGCTTATAGGCACTGTCCTGTATTGATTTTCTCCGTACGTACGTCGCGCAACGAGGGTCCTTCCAGTCGAATTCGCTTCCTGTAATAAAGTAATTCCAGTTATCAAACCGTTGCTACCCTAGATGAAACATGAAAACATCCGTAGCTGAAATCGCATTAAAAAGTGTTTCTTTCTCATTCAAATCCAGCCTCGGTTGATTAGTCTTTTCCAGTGACACAAGTAGCTCCAGCCTGGATAATCTTTGAAACAGGGTTGCCAAGTTTCAACCTTTGACGCAACGATATCAGAACAGAAAGAAGTGAATGCGCTTATTCGTAAAAAGTTAAGCATTGATTAACAAATTCTACATGAAGGTCGCCAACCTAATGCTGAATTCCCGCGTAAAAATTATCTAAGATAACTTAGATAACGTAGCGTCATCTACGAGAATTTGTCACAGCTGTTTATTTATTTACAATATTATACTAATAAAAAGTCAGTGCTTCATGGAAGTGACTTTAGCCACCTATATGCATCTCCTATATACTGTTTATATGAGCATATAGAAGCTTATAGGCAGTTTCAGCACCATATACGAGCCCCTTCCCACTTCAGTTGGCCCACTTCAAGATTTGTACCAAAATATGCCTTTATAAACTAAACATGACGAAACTATTTACTTCTAAAACAATTTATTTTCTCAAAAACATTTTAGATACACTCTAGTCGTAAAAAATACATATTTGAAATCACTTAGACCTATAACTAATAGAACATCTGAACAAATAAACAATGTGCGATAAATGCGCGAAGTTAACAAAGCAACAATTGAAAGATTACCATTGGGTAACATCACCTTTATTTTTTATTACGGCTAAAATTCTTTGGGGCATAGTGTTAACCGAGTTTTGGCAAAAATTTGGTGTAAAACAATCCCATGTTTCTTGAAGCTTTTGTCTCAGTTCGGTGATTATACGAGCAGGATGTTGTCGTAGAACCTTTTTCATCTCGTGCCACAAAGTTTCAATAGGTGACAGATCCGGCCTGCTAGAAACCAATTTCAAAAGTGGTACATTATTTTCTTCCATCGATTCTATAGCCTTTTTTGAGGTATGGCACGCTGCACCATCTTGCTGAAACACAAAATCTTGGCCGGATATCAAACATTCTTCCATCACTGGTAAAAGCGATTCTTCTAAAATTGCCAAATATTTGTTTGTATCCACATTTCCATCAATAAAATACAGTTTTCCTACTCCTTTTGATAACATACTACCCCAGACCATAATGGATGCTGGAAATTTCACTTTCCTCTTCAGACAGTCAACATGGAATGCTTCATTTTTTTGCGAATAACTCTACTGCCACTGTCACCAACACAAACTTCGAATCGGGCCTCATCACTCCATTGTATTGCACACCATTCTTGAGGTGTCCATTGTCTATGTTCGTTAGCCCATCTAAGCCGATTTTATCTTTTGCAGTAGAGTTAATAGTGGCTTTTATTTGGCCTATAGTTATTATAAACAAGTTGTGGAACTTTAGGGTTTTAACTTCACTTTTTTTTATAAGAAAACTTACCTTGCAAGTGCTAAATACTATTTTGTGGGCCTCTCTATGAGCTATGATCTGTGGACCTCGAAATTCTCTTCCCAACAGCGTCTCTCCACAGAGCACTTAATTGTAAATAATTGGCACGCCTGTTTTTCACGATTATTTTTCTTAATGCTCTTCGGTCGGCATTTGTGATATTACTTTTTTTTCACATATCGTGGCTTAATATTAACTGAACCAGTTACGTTATATCTTCTAACAATATTTCTCACACTGTCGCGCGATAAGTCTAACAAAGTTGCAATTTCTGAGTTTGATTTCCCAGAATTAAAAAATTTAATTGTCAGTAACAGAAGTTTCTCACTAATAACCTTTCCTCTACCCATTTTGAAAACTACCCAAAACTATTTTAAACGTATTCTGACAGCTGTGATTAATACAAACAATTGTCATGGCTTTTATTTTTCACAGCCACCTATGCGTTATAGACTTATTTTGCATTGAAATGAAAATAGGTTGATATCCTGTAATTGTTATGCTGCAAATTAGATTAGGGAGTGATAAAGTTGGTGTTTTCTACTATATATTATCAAAATATTCATTGTTAATATTTTAAACCTATAACACCCTGCTACATTTTTATTATTTGTGTTTGATAAGAAAAAAACTAAGTTTTCAATAGTTGGGCCAACTGAAGTGGGAAGGGGCTCGTATGCACTAATATGTGTGCTGTGGCAAATTTATACAGGGTGCGAACAGTACTCGAAGATAGGTACTTGTTAGCCCTAAACAAGTGAAGTGCTTGGTGATCTGGACTCCGACCAGCCGAAATGGACGGCTCTCTGGCAGAACTCGGCCATCCATCGAATAGACAATTAGTCAATACTGTTTTGAGAGCATTAAACTACACAAGATTGTTGCGTCACCTAGCAGTGAAACCTCCACGTCTCTCGCCAGAGAGGGAAACACTGCTAGTCTTCTTTTCTCCACCTCACCGGCACAGATCGGTTTATCACTCTGAATTCCTGCATGCACAGTACTATTATCAGCAAAGTGGAGGTTGATATGTTAGAGAGACAATGTCGGAGCCAAGACCGAATCCTGGGGAACACCCACGTTGACGTTAGAAATTATTTATTAAAAAAACAGATTCCAACAGAGCCTGTATAGCCCTGATTTGAAAAACATTAACTCCAAAAATTGTCATTCTTCTTTTTAGGTATAGAATATATCTGCAACAGATGAATAGTCTTTAGTTGCTTAGCAACAAACATCACAGACGTACACTTTTTCTGTTCCCTCCCTTCTCCCATCCCGTCTTCTTATTCCGAAAGGCACCAGTAGCTCTAGCCCTTATAAAATTGCTCGATTTCCATTTATTTGTTGTTTCCATAATCCTTTTACAATTTCAAAAGGAATTCCAAAAGAATAGTGGATAGCAACTGGAAGGAGTCCAACTTGCATGACAGGGCTTCCGCTCGAATGTTTGCTCAGGGGGGGCAATCGTCAGCAAGAGATAACTTTTAGTGGAAGTGTATCTGCTTCAAAGATTTTGGAAGAGCAGACATACGCGTATATCTGCCCTCGAAACCTTTTGGAGAGCGAGTCGTAGGGGTAGTCGCAGTAGTCCGAAAATGACTTCAGTACCTAACTGTGAAAGATATGTAAATTTTGTAATGCCTATGTCTCCCTCCACCAAACAAATTGATATGTGTGGCTTATGGCCTTCTTTAGCTTCGAGAAATATTCATTATGTTTTAAGAAATACAAATTGATGCAATCTCAATGGAAAAACAGGACTTTTATGTATTTAGAAAAGAAACTTACCTAGATGATATGTCAATTAAATTCAATTAAATGCGCACTTTCAAGTCTGACAGTTAAACACCCAAATTACATATTTATAAAACTTATCCTTTTTGAAATTAGTTTCAGACTACAACTCTTCCTAGCATTAAGACACCAAGCCACATCATTTTCAAAAATAAGTTTATCTTACGAAGATAATTAACTTTTTTTTTATTCTGTCGTTAGCAAATAATAGTTCCCCCAAATGTAAATCTATTGTAGCAGTTGGATCGAAATTAAAAAAAAAATGTGAATTGTTACCCTTCATTTGTTGAAAACAAACTGTCGAACTGAAATCTATGTTTATGGTATAAACCATCAACGTGGCAACACCGTATGGAATATTAATATATCTGGGGTCCGGAGACGACCCTTAATAGCAATATAGTTGCATGTCGTAATTTAATAAGTGATTCTCCTGCATCTCGGAGCATTACATTTTAATTTAATTTTAGCTTCGTCCCCGCATATAACCCGCTTGTTCTGGCTCGACGGCGTACTGGCGGTATATCCTTTTTGAAGTTCGAGAGGACGCAATGTCACGGTTATGTCACTTGTACAAACACCATGAGGGACACCCGGGACACGGGACACCCCAGCGCAGGGAATTCTCCGCGTTTGACCCCCGCTGCTTACAAATTGCCGGGGTTTGGTATTAATATGTCAAAATTGTGTGTTTTAACGCTCTTTTCATGCTTTATTGTTTCTCATAACGGCTCAAAGAAGGGGAGACGAGATGAGGCTAACGCGCGTCTTTTTAATATGTGCTTTTTGTTTCTTTAATATCACCGTGCGATTTACAGACAATTTCAAGGCAGAGAATATCCGTAGAGTATTTGAAGGGGATTACCTTTTCATGACTTATCAAAACGGAATTGTGTTTCGAGGCGTGTTTATGTAACTTATCTGTAGTCAGGAACGCTACTGTCATCGAAGTGTGTTTGAGTCACATGAGATCCACTTACAGGTACGTGAGCACAGGCGTACGATGCCCTACGCTATTCTCTTCCATTTTGGTAACTCGACTACAAACTACATTTCTTCTTGGCATTGCTAATTCTACAGGGTATTCCTTAATGACATGCGGATATTTAAGGGTGTGAATCTACATGAAAAATTAATGTTAGTTTGCGTTATTAACTATGGTCCAAAAATGTTTCCTTACAAAAACTCGGCGTGTTGAAGTTTTAGGAAAAAATAGAAGTTAATTAAAATTTTCAGAACCGCTTCAGATATTTAGTACGTACTAGAAGTTAATAAAGTTGCATATTTTTAAGCAAAAATAATTTTTAGCTTTAACAGGGTACGGTACGGGTACGGGTATTGACTTCGATAATTTTTAAGAAAAAAATAGTTACGCCAATGGTCTTTTGCCAAATAAAAATCATTTTTGAATTCCCCGTCCAATTTAAAACAAATGATCTCTCTTGAATTGTTTTCATTTGATGCGCCATTTTTTAGTAAAAAAATAGAAACCGTTGTGTCTAACTTGCAAAATTATTATTAATTTAATTGGAAAAATTAAACACATTATGGGTAATGAACAACAACAATTGACAACATAAACATAACATTAAAACCAACGAAATGATCATAAAAATTGTCGAAAATGGCCCTCTTCACTTAGTATGCATGCTTCCGCCGTCATTCTCATGGAATTGCGCACTCGTTGAAATATCCCTGGAGTGGTTTTTATTCTTTCACAAGCTGCAGCTATTCTTTCTCTTAATTCCTCTACAGTGTCAATGAAACTTGTGTACACTAGTGTCTTAAGATAGCCACACAAAGAGAAATCTAAACTGTTGAGGTCTGGGGACCTTGGTGGCCATTCTTGGGGCCCACCGCGGCCAATCCAACGATTTGGATAAACAGTTTGTAAATAACCACGAACCGCTACACTGAAATGCGCTAGTGCACCATCATGCATGTACCACATATTGTTTCTTATTACTAACGGAACATCATCAAGCAGCAGAGGCAACTGTTGTAGAAAATTGAGGTACGTCTGTCCGTCAAGTCGTCCTGGCAAGAAGAATGGGCCAATAAAGTGGTTGCCAATAATTCCTGCCCATACGTTAACCGAAATTTGGTGTTGGAAATGGGTTTCGGTTACGGCATAGGGATTTTCTTCTGCCCACAAATGATTATTGTGGAAATTCTGAATGACATTTCGAGAAATATTAGCTTCGTCCGTGAACAGAATCATTGATTCAAATTGCGGATTTTGTGTAATTTTTTGAAGATACCACTGAAAGATCACACGCTTTGGAAAATCAATAGGAAGTAATGAATGTACTCTTAAAATATGGTAAAGATATAACAAAACATCCACTAAAATTCTCCAAGCAATTTGATGGCAAATATTTAAGTGTCTAGCGATCTTCCTCGTAGTCGTTCTTCGACTTCGTACAGCGCTGCTAAATAATGAAAAAGATGTCACAGCGAACAGATTTGAATAACAGAGACTTGTCAGATGTCAAAAGCCAGTGACATATTCCAGAGCAACTAGATATTTATTGCTAAATTGCATTCTTTAATTATTAAATTAATTTTCTCGGATAATAGGACGGTTTTTATTTTTTTACTCAAAAATGGCGGATAGAAGGAAAACAATTCAAGAGAGATCATTTGTTTTAAATGGAACCTGGAATTCAAAAGTTTATTTGGCAAAAAACCATTGGCGTACCATTTTTTTCTTAAAAAATATCGAGGTCAATACCCGTACGCACGCCACTGTTAAAGCCAAAAATTATTTTTTGCATTGAAAAATATACAACTTTATTAACTTTCACTACGTACTAGATATTAGTGAAATATATGAAGCGGTTCTGAAAATATTAATTAATTTACATTTTTTTTTTTTAAGAACTTCAACCCCCCGAGTTTTTGTAAGGAAACATTTTTGGACCATAGTTTATAAAGCAAACTAACAGTAATTTTTAATGTAGATGCACACCCTTAAATATGCGCATATCATTAAGGAAGACCCTGTATATTTTCTATGATAAATCCTACCTCATAGCCTTAGAGTCTCTTATAATTACTACAACGGTCACAGAAAACGTGGTTAGAAACTAGTCGGCTATCATTACATGACTCTGTAATAATTTAGATGTTCTAAAAAAGTTTCACAGTATTCCAAAGTAAATTTTCATCTGTCAATCTACATTTCATTACTATGTCCGGTATTACATTGCCAAGTGACCTAGATTGATATAAATCTATTTAACCTATTATTAGCGATAATTGAAATTTGAGATATTCCTGATTTCTCCTACTTTTTTTTAATGTTTGTAAAAAGTATTCGTTAGTTCGAAATATTCGGTCGAATACCGAATATCAAAAATTGGCCGAATACCCGAACATAGCATCTCTAATAATGATATATTTCTTGACGACTTTTTGCAATCTGTGTTGCATTGTTGAGCAGGTATTTAATTTTATACAATTTATATCTCTTTGAAACTCATTAATCCGTTCATTTCCTTATTGAGTCTGTCAGATCATCATAGGATGACATAATAAAGTAAAAAAAAAACATCCAACAAATAAATAAGTAAATAACACACATTTAACTAAAACAAACAATGAAAAATTAAAATATTGCTGCGTTTAAAATACAGGGTGTCGCAGCATCGTAGTAAAAGTTTAGTAGGTTCCGAGATATTGCCTCTTTTAAGTTTTTTCAAGAAAAATAGAAAATAAATAATATAAAAATAAAATAAACCCTATTCAATGATCTGTAAAAACTATTATTTTTTATTTGTAGTATTTCGCAAGTATTACGACTTCAATGACAAAACTTGGATTTATTCAGTTTTTAGTGAAAAGAACCTACAATTGCTATACTATGAAACAACATTAAATAGTAAGTTTTTAAGGTGATTTGCTGACTCACAGTCTGGTACATTTTTTTTCACAGTAATTAGTCAAACTTTAATAAAGGTTTTCGCATTGAAACCAGATGTAATAATTGAGTTTTTTTAGCAAACTGTGCTAGTTTTCAATGGAACACTGTGTTGTCTCAACCAACTATTAATGGTAGCCCAGTGAATAAAATCATAAGTTAGAAGTCCTTTATAGCCATAACAGGAAAAAAAGGCGCAAAAAGTAAAGATTTTTTGAAAAAACTTAAGAAACTAGAAAACTTTTACTATAGGCAGCAGCGGTGGCCGCAGTAGTAGACTGACCGAACAGTCTACTACTGGGTTCGAGTCCTGTCCCAGGAGAATTTTTTCTCTTGGCTATGGATGTTGTGATTGTCCGTAGGTGGTAGATGGTCTCTGACTGTCGAACGCGGAGGTACCACCCGGCGGTTATCATAGCCGGAGCCAGAATGTTGCATGCACACGTGTTCCCTCGCCAGAGTCCGTGTGGCGTCCCCCCTTTCCCATGTATCCCCCATAGCCCCACGGTACCCAATAGGTGCTTAGGCCTTAGGCCTTCTTGGTAGTTGGAATATAAAAAAAATAAAATCTAAGTTGTAGAAATCTAGATTCACACCCTTAAATATTCGCATATCATTAAGGAACACCCTGTATATGAACAGCGCGAAATACAGGGTGTTTTCAATGGTGAGTCACTTATTTTAACTCCTTATCGAACTCGTCAAAAGTCGTTGATATACCAAAAATCACCTATATAAAGGTTGAATAATAAAAGATTAAAAGTTTAAAATATAAGAATGTTATTAAACATATTTTTTGATATTCTCGACCACCGCCATGTAAAATATTGAGGTTTTTTGTTTACCACTCTTATCTTTTATCTATATTTGGTAAAATTTTTGTGTCATTGTATGGTGTTCAGAACGAGTCTTTGGTTCCATCAGTTGTATTAGTATTTTAACAGTGCGTATACTTTCATTTGTGAGATTTGTGATTATTTTGTGCGGAAAAATGGCCCATGTTTAGTGGAGATAGTACTAACATACAGTAAGTGCCAACAAAATGCAGTCGCAGCATGCAGGTTGTACGTGGAAAGGATTGCTTTAAGAAAATATCGGGCCCACGGATGTTTGTAAATTTAGTTATTTGACTTCGTGACACAGGACATTTAAAGGAACAACGAGGAGGTCACCTGCTCAATCTGAAATGTTTCAATTTGAGAAAGACATTTTAGAAATGGTGGAAGACGACTCAACAATGAGTACTAGAGCCATAACAGCTGAAGTTGAAGTTTCTCCTAGTTAAGTGTGGAAGACAATATGACAAGAACATTTACACGAAATGCAGCGCACAGTTTCCACAACAATCATTTTTGGGCAGTAGAAAATCCGCAAGTGTTTAGGCTGGCGTGGTAAATGGTATACTTTGGAACCTACTTTTTCCACCTCGACTGAACGGTGAAGTTTATTTAGATTTTCTTCGACACAATCTGCCACAATCATTAGAAAGTATTCCTCCAAATGTGAGACAGAATATATGGATCCTACATGATGGGATTCCCCACGAGAAGTTCATGAACATCTAAATAATGAGTTTCCGAATAGATTGATAGGGCACAATGGACCCATTTCTTGGCCTGCTCGCTCTCCCGATGTACCGCGTTGCGTTTTTTTCTTTGGGACTATCTGAAAGAGCTGGTGCATCATGATGGAGCAGTAAATACTCTGGCTCACTGCTACAATCTGTTGAAATAAATGATTCAAGCTTTGAAAACACCCTGCATTACTTTGCTCTGAAAAAGTACTTTCCATGCAAAGAAAAACAGCCTTAGAATGACATGAACATATTCTAAGTTGTGGATATTATAGCTAGTAGGTTTCAAAATAATGTTTCAGTCGTAGCAACGATATTAGGCGGAACACGTTTGATTTCACTATCAATCTCTTGTAGCCCGGGACCTCCTCTGCTTACAAATTGCCAGGATTTGGTATTAATGTGTCAAAATTGTATGTTTGAATGCTCTTTTCATGCTTTATTGTTTCTCATAACACCTCAAAGAAGGGGAGACGAGATGGGGCTAACACGCGTCTTTTTAATATATGCTATCTGTTTCTTTAATATCACCGCGCGATTTACAGACAATTTTAAGGCAGAGAATATCCGTAGAGTATTTGTAGGGGATTACCTTTTAATAACTTGTGTTCCTAGGCGTGTTTAAGTAACTTATCTGTAGTAAAGTACGCCACTGTCATCGAAGTGGGTTTGACTAACATGAGATCCATGCACAGCTACACAAAGACATATCACGTTAGCACTGGTGTACGCTGCGTTACGCTCTTTTCCATTTTGGTAGCTCGATTGTACACAACGTTTGAAAGAGGCGGTGAAACTGGGCATTAAACAAACAAACACGCTTCTTTGAGGAACGTTCAAGAAGGACTTGCATTTCACAGTAGGCTGGCAATAGTGGTCATCACAGGCTGTCATATTTGCCAGAACAATGTTTTTTGTTTGGTAGTTTGATGGCAAATTTTGGACGATTTTCAAATATTCCAAATTATCAAGTAACCTGTGACTAGCGCAGAAATAAAAGTTGAGAATTTCAAGATAGCCGCTGGGCACTGTCAGGTTTGAGCATTTTTGTACCTTAAATTGCTTCTAACTCGACAAGTAAATATCAAAACAATACTGTATGTCACATCAATCATTGTTTTGGAATTTTCTATGTGAATGTGTGATGAACTGTGGGACATCCCAAAAATATATTTGACAATCTTTAGAAATGGAATAATTCATTACATATTCGGATAGACCCCTCAAAAATAACGCTTAGCTTTGGCAGACTGCCAGCTTGAAATTTTCAGTGTTAGTGATTTTATATTCTTGGGTTACAAAGCACTGATAAATATCCCACACACGACCCCACATTGCCCTGAAAAGAAATGGAATATTTCATTACATACGAGGGATGTCTTTTAAGATTTGCATATAGAAACATAGTAGGCCGCGCGGATCGAACGTCGGTACTGAATCTTAACCTCATTCTTTAGTAAACTTAAATTCAAAGTTTCTCAACAGTACGTGCAGTGTTTCACTACTGTGAATTTTTAAGTGTCACCAAGTCATTAGAAAAATGGAATTCAACCGAGTACATTTTCGCGCCATAATTTATTACAACTTTCAGAGACAATTATCGCAACAAGAATGCCATGCTGAGTTACTGTCTGTTTTCGGCAACGAAGCGCCACATCAGTCGACAATTTCCCGTTGGTTTGGAGAATTCAAACGTGGACGGGTGAGTCTTAGCGACGATCCCAGGGTGGGTGCACCAAAAACGGCAATCACCCAGGAAAACGTCGATGCTGTGCGCAAACTCATCATTGAAGATAGACATGTGACATATCGCGAGATTGAGGCGTCCTTGAGGATCTCAAAGACCTCAATTCAAAAAATTTTACAGGAAGAATTAGGAGTAAGAAAATTAGTTTCTCGTTGGATACCCCACCTGTTGACTAAAGAGCAGAAAGCAGCCAGGGTTGATTGGTGTCAAAAAACGCTTACCGTTTCAATTCCGGAAACTCAAAATATGTGTACAGCATTGTTAGTGGTGATGAATCGTGCATCTACTGTTATGAACCAGAAAATAAACGACAGTTGGCTGTTTGGGTGTTCCAAGGTGAAGAAAAGCTAACAAAAGTCATCCGTTCTCGAAGTGTTTCGAAAAAGATGGTCGCGACATTTGTGTCAGTGAGCAAAGAACTATTACTGCGGATTGGTATACCGCCGTTTGTTTGCCAAAAGTCATCACTGAGCTTCGAAAAATCAACCCCGAAAGAAGAATCATCCTCCACCAAGACAATTCAAGCTCGCACACAGCCCAAAAAACAAGGCAGTATTTAATGGAAGAAAACGTAGAATACTCCATATAGTCCCGATCCAAGTCCTAACGATCTCTTTACTTTCCCGAAAATTAAAAACAGACTGCGTGGTCAAAGGTTCCAGTCAGCAGTTGACGCATTCAACAATGCCGTTTTGGATCTGCCAGCAAACGAGTGGAATAAGTGCTTAGAAAATTGGTTCGAGCGCATGCAGATGTGTATTAATATTCGTGAAGAATACTTCGAAAAACAATAAAGTAATTTAAAACTACCTACCGTGTTGTTTTATTTCCATATGCAAATCTTAAGACGTCCCTCGTATTCGGATGGACTCCTCAAAAACAACGCTCAGCTTTGGCAGACTGCCAGCTTGCCATATTGAGTGCTAGTGATTTTATATTCTAGGGTTACAAAGCACTGATAAATATCTCCCACACGACTCCCCATTGTGCTGAAAAAAATTCCAAAATATCGCGCTCAGCCGCCATCTACCAAACAACACTAATATATAAATAGTAATACTCAAAATGAATGGAGCATTTAATAGCAAGGACAGTTTTGTCCCCAACAACCCTGCATAAATACACGCATTCATTGTTTATCTAGTTTTTTTGCCAATATTAGTATTTACTTAGGAGCGACAAATCTAACTGGAGTGAAAAAAATAATTTGTATTCAAACGTAGAAAATCTTATCTAACACCACATTGCGTCATCACGCGCCAAATGTCAAATAAGATCATTAAAACTGCAATAAGGAACTCAACCTTTCTGTTTTCTTTCAGACATCTCCTCGAAGACAGAGAAAAAGCTTGCCGGAGAAAAGTTCCAATCAATCTACTTAGTGGGAGTGCAAGAGGTAAGCGTAAATCCCTAATAAACCCCACTATTGCATTAAGGAAGTTGGTACCGTCTCAAAAGGCGTTAATGATCGACCCTGTTTGTCATTCAATCGATGTCTTTCCTATATCGGATGCTCTCATCTACTGGGGTCACTTACCCTCCAACGAAAATCATTTACGTCAACGAAGAGAAAGGTTCTTTAAGTGAATCACAAGGATACACAAACGATGCTTTTGTTTTATTTGGTATGCTGAGAACTGTGTACCAGTAACGTATTGTTATGAAGAGAAGAACAATATTCAGCTATTTTTAAACCGAACCATAAATTTAATAAATAAAAGAAAAAATTGGAGTTCGAGCGATTCTATTTTTTTCCACAGAATCACTTCAGTGAATAGAATATCAAATAGAAAAGCGCTGGAAAATTTGTCTAAGGCTCTTGATTTTTTTTATATCGAGGCAGCCGCGCAAGCAGAAGCCTAAATGCCGGAACACCGCGGCTGCTATGGTGATCCCAAAGAAATTTTGTTAATACTTTTGAACTGCCTCCGAGGAGCAAAGCTCGTTGGTGTAGCGGTAGAAAAGAGCTAGATCGCCGACGGCCCGCCGGTGCGAAAGAGTTCCGAGACTGTCTGTTAGAGAAGAGTCATCGATCAGTCGGACCGCCCTCCTCTGGACAGCATCGAGCATGGATAATGTAGTCAGGGCGGCAGCACCCCAAACGTGTGAACAATACTCGAGGCTAGGCCTTATCTGGGCCTTGTATACAGGGTGACTTCGAAGTTGAGTCATTTATTTGAACAGTGAGTAGATCTGATCAAAAGAAATGTTTTCTTCCTTTAACATTTTTCTGGTAAAATTAAATTAACAGCCCTTTAGAGGTTTGAGTACCGCCCTGTCTCAATAATAATATTATGTGCACGTGTTTGGCAACAACGAATATAATCCGCCTTATCGGTTCATCGTATCGGAAACAAAAAAGCGAAATAATTTGAAACGTTTATCACGATGTCAGTCAATGTATCAGTCGGTAACGCGTGAGTGAATAGTGGTGTTTGTTGCGTGGCTCAAACGGAATGGCACATGTTTACGAAAATGCTGAACTTGTGGACATGATTCTTATTTACGGATTTATGCGAATCGGTTTCCCAATCGAGTGCAACCAACCTCCTCGTGCCTTTGTTAATGTAGTACAAAGGGCTCGTGAATCAGGTGACTTAAGACCTCACAAGGGAGGGCATGCCAGTGCTCCAAGACCGCACGATCAAATACAGGTCCGCACTGAAATACTTGTCGGGAGGATACTTTATAAACCAAGGTAACATTTTTTTTTTATTTTTACACACATATTTTGGTTTATCTTCCCTCTGCAATCATTATCTGAAAATTAATGACTCAACTTCAAAGTCACCCTGTAGAGTCAGAAGGTCATGCGGAGAAAAGTACTTCTTAGCCCTGAACAAATAGCCTAGCTTTTTCCCAGTAGCTGCAGCTATTGACGAGATGTGTTCGTGCCAGATCAGGTTCTCGGTGATCTGGACTCCGACCAGCCGAAATGAATGGCTCTTTGACAGAACTCGGCCATCCATCGAAACCGGATGAGGGCTAGGATGCTTTTTGTTCGTCAAAGTACAGTACTGTGTTTTGGAAGCATTGAACTGTACAAGATTGTTGCGTCCCCAAGCAGTGATAGCCTCCAGGTCTCGTGTCAAAGAGGAAGTCGTCACTAGTCTTCTTTTTTCCAGCTCAGCGGCAGATATCGGCTTGTCACTCTGAATTCCTGCATGTGGACTGCTGTCATCAGCGAAGTTGTGGATTGGGTTGATCGTGCAGGACAGGAGGTCGTTGATATCTAAGAGAAACTGTGTTGGAGCCAGGACCGATCCCTGGGGAACACCCGCGTTGACGTTGTGGGATGAAGAGGAGAACCCGTACGACGGATATCTTGCGGCCAGATATAAAGTCAGCCGCCCATCTGCAAAGCTTTTCTGGGAGGCCATAGGATGGAAGTTTGATTAAGAGGGCAGCGTGCCACAGCTGATCGAAGGCTTTCGTTATGTCAAGAGCTACGACATGGGCCTGGATGAGTTTACTCCACAATTGCATGACGTAAGCTAGTAGGTCCCTTGTGGATCGTTGGTGCTCAAAACTGTCGCTAATCAAGCTGTGACGTTCGAGGTAGTCCAGAAGCTCGCGATTTATGCACCTCTCCATCAGCTTATTTATAACAGAAAGCAGAGCTATAGGCCGGTAGTTGTAAGGGTCGGTCTTAGATTCCTTTTTTGGGATCGGTTGGACATGAGCAAATTTTCACTTTTCTGGGAAGTTGCCGGATTCATAAGATATCTGGAAGAGACGCGAAAGAACTAGAGCAAGCTCCGTTGCACACGTCTTCAGTACAATGGCAGGAATGAAGTCCGGAGCAGAAGCTTTGTTGATGTCGAGCGACAAGCGCACTCGTCTTACGGTCTTATGCCTGAATGTTACCTCCCGCATAGTGTACCCTTTGAATTGACGGCACTTGGGCGTTGGGGGGGGACGTCCATGGTGGAGTTGGCAGCAAAGATCTTGGCAAGCAATTCCGCCTTGGCCTTTGAGTCGAATAAAATCGTTCCATCCTGACACGTAAGTGGTGGGCGGCTACTGTGTGAGAAGTTCTTTTCAATCTGCTTGACCAGCGTTCAGACAGACCGACTGCCATTGCGCTGCGACATTACCCTGTGCCTAACTTTTATATCGTGCTGGTTTTTGTCATTGCGAACCGCTTCGTTATATTTGTGTCTGGCTTCGACGTCGGCTTGTCTGTTCTTTACAATGGGGTTTTGTAAGAAGGTTCTGTGTGCCTTGATCTTCTGCTGGCGAGCAGTGTCACACGATTTGTTAAACCAGCCGTTGGACCCTGGCACTTTTACTGTGTGAGGGATGTATTCCTCCATTCCGACGTGAATAATTTCGGTTAGTAATTCAAATAGAACATTTCTTAAGAAATTTCCGCAGAATAGAAGACCTCATAAACAGGATCATACATGCAGCACAAGAAATTCAAGCCTCTCTTAGGAATTCGGCGGTAGTAAAATTAGCAGTCATAAGAAGAACACGTGTGTGCATTAGAAATAGAGGGCGCCATATTGAAAATGTATTATAAATATATAAAACTGTAGTTTCAAACAAATTATCCTGTATTAAGGTATGATTTTGTAAGTGTAGTATTTTTATTGCTTTTTCCTTCCTCCTCTTATAATAATCATATTTTTGCCAATTCTTAATCAATTTGTGATTTTTATACCTCATTTGAAAGGTAATGAACCGTAGATGTTTTCTAGTTATTTATTATGAAAAATTTGTATGCGACTTTTTCTAGTAAACTGAAGCTTTTGAGATGAACGAAGATTTTTTTAACAAGAATCGGACTATTTTGAAGCTTACTGCATGAGATAACGTCAATAATGTACATTTGAGTATCAATTTTCGTATTTTAGAATATTTTTATTGTAAAACCAAAAAAAATCAAATGAAAGGACGTTAATTTTATAAAATCTTAAAAATTAGTATAATTCGGAAACGGCTAATTTTCGGACAGTAGTTCCTATAGTAAAATCGACTCAAATTTCGGTTGTCCCATTTGTTGCTGTCATAGAACCGACATACATTTTCTGAAACACTGTCAAATCTATATACGGACACAAAATAATTGTTTATTTTATTAGCGTCAGCTAGTTCAACTGGCTTTGAGATAGATTTTATATTGAGCGTGCTCAATCCAGACCATAAAGCTTTCGGATTATTTTGGTCAGTTAGTTTTTGAATGTAGTCTTCCTTTTTTATTCGAATTTGACGTAATGATCTATTTCTCAGTTGCTTAAATTTCTCAAAATCATCTGTTGATTCACTAGTTTTATACTTCATGAAAGCAGAATCCTTTCCGTTTCCACATATTTCTTGCGATATGCAATTTAAGTGGATTTTTTTTCTCGAAACCCAAGTCCTGTAACGTTTCAAATCACTTGGTATGTGTTGCATTTTCCTAAGCCACGTCACTGGTTAAACAGAAGTGATAGAAGCAAACCAGCGACGTATAGGACAAGCAACAGCCACGGTCACCTGTTAAATAATGCAAGGAAAGAGACCATATCACTCAGTCCCCACGAGATTCTGCCAGAGCATTCTGGCAGCGTTCTGCCGTTCTCATCTCGTTCTGGCGCCGCTCAGAGGTCACGTTCCGAATTGTGTCTGGCAATGCAAAAACACAGAGAACTGTAAAAGATTAATAGGGCTGTTTGAATATTTCATTACCAGAGATGACCCCCTTCGACATCTAAATATTACTCGTTATAATGCTGGGGATACAACGATTTATTTATAAACCGCTACTGTATCACACCATATTACCTCGGATATATATGGTCACCCTTTCCGAGTTTTTTTACGTTTTTCCCTTCTCTCCTTCATGCCTTTGTTCCTCAGATACGGAGGGATCGCCAGCTAAAAAAAAGCGCAGCGAAATTGAAAGAACAGTTCGCAAAGCGTACGACAGGATCATGGTTCAGTTATTACACCTCCCTAAAACAGCCATCTTCGTTACGGCAGTTAAATAAGAAAAGTAAACATTCAAGATAATGCTTGCAAGTTTTCGCATGTTACTGAAATAATCTAAGATTCTGTAATTTCTTGGAGTTAAAAGTGAAATAAAAATGTATTTACCGCAAGTATTGCTTTTTCCTTATTGCATATTATGAATTGAATAAATTGCTTATAACACGACTATTGCGACACATGGGTGACACCCCTTTAAAATAAAGTGGGCGTAGTTCTAGTACCTTTAACCTTAACTATACATGGTGTTCATTTGAAAACTTCCAACCACGGATTTATCAAAAACCACTGATTAAAAGAAATAACGCCAAAATTTGTCAATGGGGACAACTTTACCAAACTTAACCAAGATCTACCCACTGCCCCCAGGGTCATCACCTGAAAAATTTCAAATGCCAAGGGCTATCGAGAAATAGCTTGTTTGAAAGATCTTTCGGAGTTCTTTGTTTTGACGTTTTATTTTTCAAAATCGGTGGATTCGTTTTCAAGAAAATCTTTATCTTAATTTGTTCAGATAGAAAACACTAAAATATCACTTTTTATTTCAATAAGTGTTCAAAATGTTGCGCATTAGAGTTTGCCAAATCTACAATTCGTTTATAATTTAAAAAAATTTAAATAAACAGCAATTAGGAGGATTAAACGTGGCAACAACTCAATAACAACCCGGATTTTTTCCGCATGCTTTCCGTCAACACAGATACCCTGGGCGAACTGTATTTATTGTTATACCTATTTAGTTATTTGTTGCTAAGAAAAAGGCAGAATTTAATTTGCTTTCAGTTACCTTTGTGACAATCTTGAGATAGTGAAAATTAATTTATTGATTAGGATTTTACTTCCAAAACGGTTTACACACTAGCCGAAAGAGTGAAAATGTTTCTAATTTATGGTGCCCAAAATCAATGTGCTCGGCAAACTACCGTCATCTCAATAAGCTACACGAAATGTAACATTTAAATGTACAAACACTGAATGCTTCTTTATCACCAAACGATACACGCAGCTACCACAAAAACTTAACAGAAAAACCTAACCATTTTATCACTTGTTGCTCATGGCAAGATAAATCGATATGAAATCATTTCTTGAATTTTTATAAACATACGTAGGTGTTAACCTTTTTCTGTCACTCAGTATATGAGTTGCATTAAAATCTGGTTGCAGCTTGTTGGCCATGCGGATCAAAATGGTAAACCACCTGGATATCGTCTGCGAATTACTTATAAAAAAATGAAATCTATGTTGTGAAAATATCGATAAAATCAAGGATAAAGCTCATTGAATGTAACTGGAAGTATGAATCTCGAGATGTCGATTCCTTATATAATTGATTTATTGACAATATGAATAAAAGTATCAACGAAATTGCACCTTTAGAACAAGAGTACTAATTACAAGTCATGGATTGATGGAGAGGTCAAAAGAGTACAAAGTGAAAGAGATGTACAATACCATATTTTCAAATTTACCAACCTAAGGATGACTTCGAAAGATATAAAGAAAAACGTAACAAAGTTGTTGCTCTTATGAGATCAAAACAAAAGGAGTGTTATGAAGAAACGATTGACAGATGCAAAGGAGACAGCAAACAAATGTGGAGAACCTTGAAAGATCTCGTTAATAACAAACATGTACACATTGATTATATGTCTTTAGAAATTAATGGCTGTGACACTGTAGATAATAAATTGAACAATTATTTTATCAAGAGTGTTACTGATATAGTAAGCACGATACCTTCAAGTAATGAGCAAGCTATAACGGCACCACTGTCTTTAGAAGAGGAATTTTGGAGGTTAGCTACGCAAAACTGTTTTTCAATTGAAGAAAAAATCTACGGGTGATGAAGCACTTACATGCAGTTTGGTGAAGCAATTGTTTGATGTAATTGGCTACCCCCTTTTGAATATTGTAAATACGTCGCTCAGAACAGGAAAGACGCCTTCGTTGTTGAAGAGGAGTATTATAGTCCCAGTACCCAAAACAAACAATCAACGTAAACCAGAAGACTTGCGACCCATCAATCTTATGCCAGTTGTCGAGAAAGTTATAGAAATAACAGTGCATGAACAGCTGAGTGAGCATCTACGTGTGAACGATGTTCTTTTTGAGAGGCAATCCGGTTCAGAAGAAATCATTCTTGTGAAACTGCATGCCAATTTGTATGTATAAAGTGGAAAAAAAGATATAGATGATGGTAAAGTGATTGTGTGTGTCTATTGACCTAAAAAGAGCGTCTGAAACTATTGACAGGAAATTGTTGTTGAGAAAATGTAAAATGTATGGAATTAAAGGTACAGCCCTCTTGTGGGTGGCTGATTATTTATCTGAGCGGTTACAAGTGGTGAAAATTGGAAGTAAAATATCAAGAAATGTTTCTGTTGATCATGGAGTACCTCAAGGCAGCGTACTAGGCCCATTGCTGTTTATTCTATATCTCGATGATATGTCCAACGTCCTTAGAAAAATTTTTTATAAATTTGTTTGCGGATGATACATTAATTTCAGTTAGTGATTCGGTAAGTAACGAAATTGTAGATGTAATGAATAGTGAAATGAGCAAACCTAGTTTATGGTTAAAAACAAACAAGGTTAAATTAAATGTGAGAAAAACGAAATGTATGATTATAGGTTCGAAGAAATAATTGCAAGAGATTAGTGGATTTAAATATGCCAGTGAAAATTGAGGGAGAGGTACTTGATTTTGTAGATAGTGTTAAGTATTTAGGTATTATAATAGATAAGCAACTAACTTTCAGCAAACATGTGTCGGAAATTAGGCAAAAAGATCGGGTATTTTGGTAGAATTCGTGAGAATCTGGTGCAGATGGGTAGTCTACAGTACAACAATTTTTCCTCATTTTATTTATTGTGCATCACTTTTGATTACATGCACAAATGAGCAAAAGCAAAGGTTGCAAATGCTATTAAATAAATGTTCGGGGATTTTGTTAAATTATAGCAGGTATACTCGTATACAGGATATGCTAAAGGCATTAAATTTTTTAAACGAACACCAAATTATTCAAGAGGCAAATTTCATTCTTCTTATAAAATTATAAATAATCAGGCTCCACTTTATCTTGAACAGTTTCTAAAAAAAAGATGTGTAATACAACGTTACGAAACTAGATCAAAAGAAAATTTCCATATACAAAGATTTAGATTTAAAGGTTGAGAAAAGTCAATGTTTGTTAAAGGTCTAAAAATGTACAACAATCTGCCTATTAATGTAAAAACATCTAGTAATGCTAAAATTTTCCACAATAGACTTCGAAGAGACTATTTTTTTTTTTGATGTGACGACCTCTTTGTAAATTTAACATATTTTTTTAAATAATATTTATTATTGTTTGAAGTAGCTTAAAGCTAAATAAATCCTTTCTATTGATATTTATATTACTGTATTGTAGAGTTAGCTACTTTAGAAAGCAAATAGGCAATATATACTAGAAATAACAAGGGTCCCAAAACAGACCCTTGTGGAACACCAGAGATGATGTTAGTACATTTAGGAAAAGTATTATTAATGACAACACATTGGGAACGATTATCCAAATATTCAAGTATTCATTGAAAACCTAAATAGTCCAATTTAGCAAGAAAACATGAAATCAAAACAATCCACCAGTTTTCTCGTTCACATTGACGATCAAATACCTATAACTCATGTACTTTAACTTGCCATAAGCATTTTTTAAACATTGTAGGGCTTTAGTATCTTATAAAGTAACTGAAAAGGTATGGATAGTTCCGAATCGATCTGATTTTATTTTTTCTTAAGAGTTAAGAACTCAAAGAAACTGTACTATTCGCCTAGTCATCGAATATGTGCGCCGATCGAAAAATGCTTGATGATATAACGTCTAACTTTGCCGAAAGTTTTCAGATAAAATGGTGTTAAAACAATATTGACTTGCGTTGTACGTTTGGCAGTAATGCGAACGATTAAATTTATGTTTTCCACGTAATTGAAATCGCTGGAAAGTTTTTGATTGGCTTTGTAATTATGGCATCAATGTTAATTGGCAGCATCTTAACGGTAGCTTACCCCTTTTCACCCGGGTCTTTATATATACATTCACCCCGAGTCCTTGTAATTGCTCTCTCAGATTAAGTAATAGATGACTTTTAAATTATTCATTTCAATTTGTAGATCCTTCGCCCGAGATCTGAATAATAAAATATATCGGGCCTCACGACACAGACCAAATTTACAGAGATGCTAAGGGGGAGCAAACGCACGTGTTTACAGGTTGGAATAACACAGAAACTGTTTCACATCCCATATACAGTTTGTCTTGTTATCAATGTCACACCGGACATTTATTCTAGTATTGGCAATTAATGTATTTATTTATTTACGGTTTCTCATTACATGCAAAAAACAATAGGTTTATGTGACAGTAGCTTAACTTGAGTTATTTAACTAAAGAACTAAAGCTTCATGTGATACCCAATCTACCCACGCTTTTTACTCTGAATTGAAATTATTCTGTTAATAGCTTAAATTTTATTATAATGTTATTTTGAGGTTATTAATTATGATTGATTATTCGACCATCTACTACTGTAATATGAAACTCTTCGTAATTAAAAATTATTTTCCAATTTTTATTTCGGTTAGTTATAAAAGCATGTTTTTTTTTGTTTTTTTAAATTGTTATTTATTATTACATGACTCCATCCAGTGTCCATCTTCTCAGGGCTTACCTGTACCATACAAAAATTACAGATGTACGGTCATCACAATTTTGCATGGGGTACCTCAAGGATCTGTACTTGGACCATTGTGATTCTTGCTATACCTCAATGACATACAAAGTTGTCTCAGTAACGGTACTAGTAGCGAACTATCCATGTATGCCGATGACCATACTTCTTTCAACTCACAGCGGCTTAGAAAACCTAGACAATGAATCATCAGCATGCAGGGTGGACATTCAAAAC